TCACAGTTGACAAGCACCTTAACATGTTGTTAAACACGAATTCTTTTGCTTATGACAGGCTCTACTGAGATGCTTGTCAAAATATGTATGTAAATTATTGTCGAAGTCCGAGTCAAAGTTAAAGTCAAAGTTAACATGCACTTTGACATGCTTGTTTAACACCTTTTCTTTTACCTATATTCCATTAACTAATCTGCCTGTCAATTAATTGTCTGGATGGATTTTGTTACATATGAATCACAGTTGACTTGCACTTTAACATGTTGTTAAACACAAATTCTTTTGCTTATGTCAGTTTCTGCTAAGATGCTTGTCAAAATATGTATGTAAATTATTGTCAAAGTTAGCAAGCGCTGCTAGATGTTTAACACTTTTCATTTACCTAGATTCCTTTTACATAATCTGCCTGTCAAACTGTTGGCCTGGGTGTGGTGAATCACAGTTGACATGCACTTTAACATGATGTTAAACACAAATACATTTGCTTATAACAGGTTCTGCCAAGATGCTTTTCAAAGTTAACAGGCACTTTGACATGCTGTTAGGCACAAATTCAGTTGCTGACAAAGCTGATGACAAATTCTTCCAAGATGCATGTCAAAGTATGTATATAAATAATTGTCAAAGTTAATGTCAAAGTTAACAATCGCTTTGACATGTTGTTTAACACCTTTTCTTTCACCTATATTCTATTAACTTATCTGCCTGTCAAATAAGTACACTGTATGGTGATTTTTAAATATGAATCACAGTTAACAAGATCTTTAACATGTTGTTAAACACAATTTTTTTTACATAAGATACTTTTTGCCGAGATACCTGCCATAATGATAAGATAAGATATTATCATGCTTGACGACAAAGTTAACAAGCACTTTTACATGTTTTCAAACACACTTTTCCTGCTAACATTTTTTTTAATTGATTTCTCCGTCATAATATTAAACGGAATAGCTGCTGCCAAAGTGGTTGTTACAGTTAGCAGTCAGTTTAACGTGAAACTAAACATATGCTCAGCTGCTTATGTTATTGCGAACTGTTATTGTTGTTAAAGCTTAAACACATTGTTATATAACTTTTTGCTGAGATGCCTGTCTTGCCGAGCAGATAAGTTCTTATCAAAGTTGATGACAAAGTTAACAAGCATTTTAACACAATAGTCTCTTAAGCTGGAGCTGCCTGTCAGAACGTATAAAAGACTTTTGGCTATGGACAAAACTTTTACCGCACATACTATATACAGATATGACTTCAGGGAGCTGTATCTAAAGCAGCTGCTCGTTAAAGGTTTGGCACGTGCAGCTCGCACTAATTAAAGAAATGCAATTTACTTAAACTGTTTATGGCGATTTCGCAGCAGCAGCCGGAGCAGCGCCTCAGCTGCGCCCCTGACTCATGGGCGCGTCTAGAAATTCCACAGAAACTGAAACGAACGCCCACGTTAAATCACAGCTGGAATGCCTTGAAGATAACAAACAGAACAATGTTCTGGAAAATGTATTAGAAATCGATTTAAAGAGAGCTGAGCTTAAGAGATGGGAAAGCTGTCAATATATGCCTTCAAAATTCCTTTCATACACACAAGCATGGCTGTGCTTGTCTTCCCTTAGCCCTACTCTATAGGGAATGCAGTCTTGTTTAACTTCGGTGCTTAAAGTCCGATCTTTATGAAATTTTCAGTGCTTAAATATGGCATAAATATATGTGTGTATACTAAATTGCAGGGGAAATGACCTTTATATCAGTTATCAGATTATGAAATACCATTTTATTATGAATATTTTAACACACAATATTTCGTAAGTTTTGTGTCTGTTTAAATGGAAATGTATACCAAATTGTGGCACATTCCATAATTTCATGTCCATTTACATTTGGCCGCAATTCAATTTTGACCAATGCTTGAAATTGAACCTCAATAAAGTTGGCAGCAGCAGCAGCAGCTTGTGCAACAGTTAAAAATGCATTGCGAATTAATTAACTGCAATTTAACTGAAAACGACAGTTAACGTGCCAGCAAGTCATTAAGCCAAATGTACAATTTGCGGTCAACAATTGAATGCGACTCTGAAAACGGGAGTCTGTTAATGTGAATGTGTTGGCCAAGAGCAGCTTTCCAGCTAACAGCGATAATAACCAAATGGGGAAGTGATAAACTACGAATTGAATACGACCTGAGAATCTGTTTCGTTGTTTATACCCTGAACCCATTGAAAATAGGTAGGTGGGATGCAATGTTTGTGTGAAAAGGTAACAGTCGGAAAGAGGCGTATCCGACTTCATTAGGTATATAGAGAGTAGCTGGAGATGTGGTATTTTATATATATATTCTCAATATATCACACGGAATACTACCATTACTATAATAAATAAAATGGATTGGAGTGTCTTGGGCTTCTTTCTTTACACACATTTAGATGCCACATTTAGGCACTGAAAATTTGCTCAAGATCGGACAACAAGCACCGAGCTATATTCCCAATATATACAGAGTACTACTTTATACCATGCACTATATTCTTTTTGAAATGCGAGTGGGAGACTATCCCTCAGTATTAAAAGAAAAAAAGATATGCCACATTTAAGCACTGAAAATTTGATCAAGATCGGACAACAAGCGCCGAGCTGCTCAAGCAATCATATCCCATAGTGCGGGGAAGAAGCAGCATATGTCCCAGCGAGTGAGAGACTATCCCTCGAACTTAGAAGAAAAAGAATTGGAATATAGTCTTAGTCTTCTGTTCACACAGTTGAGGCACTGAAAATTTGCTCAAGATCGGACAAAAAGCACCGAGCAGTGAGGGGAAAGAAGAGGCACAGCGTAAAGTGCGCAGCAAAAGCGTCCCTGAAATAGCCGCTAAATGCGTAATGGCAGCATCTTTGAGTGTGAGGTTGAGTCGCTGTTGCATAACGCAACTAAATGCAACTTAATGCTCCATCGAGCGGCAACAACAACAACAACAAGCACAATTAAGCATCATTGAGCTGGTGTCCGGTTGCTGCTGGGACTGATCCGTTTTCAGTTTACTGTTTAACTGTTAACAGCTAATAGTTAACCAATTGTTGATGTCTGATCTCTCTCTGTCTCTCTCACTCGGTATTGGCCGGGCCGTATCCAATTGCCACTGTGTTATGGTTATGGCCAACTTGTCGGCGGCTCCGACCAAACAACTTTTCAATTTTCAATTGCGCACAGTTTCTCACACAGTTTTCAGTTGCCTTCACTGCCAGCTGCCGCTGTCGCAGTGCTTTTTGTTTTCCCCGTTGTTTACACGTCTTATCATCAATTTGTTTTTAAACAAAATGAAATTACCCGGCGTCGTTTAACTGAAGGCAGACACGAAATTCCCACCAGCCAGGTGAATTATTTGACCTATAAAAGTGAAAATTGCTGTTGGCTTTGAGCCGTCGACTTCACGCTTGCTGGTTTGGTGGAAATTACTCGGCGTCGTCCAACTAAAGGCAGACACGAAATTCTCATCAGGCCTCTATGCACTCGACCTATATAAGTGAAAATTGCTGCTCGCTTTGAGCCGTCGACTTCACACTTGCTGGTTCGACGTTTAAACGCGAAATTCTCATCAGGCCTCTATGCATTCGACCTATAAAAGTGAAAATTGCTGCTGGCTTTGAGCCGTCGACTTCACACTTGCTGGTTCGACGTTTAAACTGATCACCAGTCAGAGCAAAGTCAAACAACAAGAAATTACCCGGCGTCGTTCAATTTCCATCCGGCCTCTATGCATTCGACCTATAAAAGTAAAAATCACTGCTGAATTTGAGCCGGCGACTTCCTGCTTGCTGGTCCGACGCCCAAACGTTGATCTGGTAAGCGGTCAGGGCAAAGCCTTTTATCTTTATAGCTTGTTAAACAAGCTGCCAACTGCCGCTCGAAGTTCTTGCTGCGACTGTGGGCGTGCCAGCCGCCGTAACTAATAGACGCGACCCCTGACCTTTGCTGGCCAACGCATTAGCAAATGCTCCAGTTAGGCGCAAAAAATAAAAACAAAGACAACAACAACAACAACAACAAACGGTGGCAATTGGCAAATTAGAATGGCCCAGAAGTCGAACCAATTGTCGGCCGTAACTGGTCCGTGCAGATCGAGACGGAGGTCAGCCGGAAAAACATGAAAAATGCAGCCGCGGACGCCATTAAAATGTTGACAGTCATAAAAAAACAAGCAACAATAATCATAAAAAGCAACAACAACAACAACAATAAAAACAGCAACAATAACAACAAATGCGAAAAACCTGTTCCAGCAACAAGTGCAACTTACTTAGCTCCCCATGCCCATTGCAGGTTGGACACATGGCCACAAAACGCAATCAGTGCACACAGTGGTTCGAATCCACCACGAAAGCAATTAAACTTTTAAGAGGTGTGGGTTCTAAAAGGGCAAAACATGATATTAAATCCTAGTTTAGGCAAGCTAGTTCCCTAAGAACACAATTTATGTGTTCGATTCTCCTGCACAACCTAAGCTGGGATTCGAACCAGCGACCAGCATTCACTGCAAGCACTTATCTCATAAACAGAGTTTTTGCTATTGTATTTTTCGAAATGTGTTTAGGTTAATATAATGCATCTTTTCACTTGTTTTCAATATATTGACCCACTGTGCAATGTCTGCGCTTTAACAGTTGGTTTTTCTCGAAACCTTTTTTTTTTGTGGGCACTGTCTGCATTTTCCGCTGTTCTTTTTTTCTGCCTCATTGATGACTGTTTGCAGTTTGCACTCCTGTTTTAAAGTTCAAAGGTGCATGTTTTTCAGAGTTTTTTTTTTTTGGATTTCTTGCTGGCCCGTTGGCGTGAGAACCAAAAAACCGCACAGTTTGTTGCGGTTTTAGATACAAGCTAGATACAGGTTGAGATGCAGATACAGATACAGCTACAGCTACAGATACAGGTACTGAGATCGACGAAATGTATGTTTGCCTGTCAGTTAAACAAAATATTTATGACCCATAAAGTCATACGAAATTTGTTGTCTTACTTTAGCGGCCATTTGTGGATGCGCAAAAGGTGTTCAAAACAATGCCGCCAAGTGCAGTAGCATTTCGGGTTCCGGGGCTGTGATTAGAACTTTAGCCTATTTTTTCCACCTCTTTTTTTCGTTTGTTGTTTTGTTTAAATACTACGCCGAGCTTTCGCGCTAGTCTGTGCGCGGGAGCGAGCGGGATGGCAACAGGCCTTAGCTGCGCGCGGCGTTGCCAATTTAGCTAGTTTCTAGCTAACTTTGGCTACTTTCATCGGGTGTTAGCCGTAAGCAGTTGTTATTTAAAACTGATTTAGCTGTTTTCAACATTGGCTTCGGCTACTTTTTGGCCATTTGGCAACACTGGCTACACTATTTGCGGCGTTTCGTAATTGCATTTCCATGCTTCGCGCGCGTCTCGTGATATTTTTTGTATTATAAACTTCAAACTTTGGTTTAACTAAATGAAGGCGTGTGTGTTAATTGTGCCACATTTCACTTGAATTTATTGCATTTGATTTCAATTTCGTTTCGTTTCGTACACGTTTTATTTTTTCATTTATGCATTTGACCCGCTTTAAAGCTCTGCCAAAAACAATAACAACAGCTTTTTGCCGTTGTTTACTTTAAATTTCGTCGTTGTCGTTGTATTCTGTGCGCAGAAAAAAAAAACTTGTTAGCTGTTTTGAATTTTTCTTTTGCACTTGCTTTTTGTTGTCGTTTTCAAACACCAACACACAGACGCACACAAATACACACACACGCACACACTTGACTAAAATATTTTCATGAAATTTCGTGAATTTTTCAGTTGCGCGCGCGCGTTTAGCACCCACGTCTTGTTGTTTGTTGCTCTCTTCGCACTGCTTCTCGCTCACGCTCTCTCTCTCTTTCTTTCTGTTCCGTTAAAATTAAGCAGCGCGCGTTTCACGTTTCGAACTGTTGGCCACAAGCTGCGCGAGACGACTGAGCGCTGCTGCAGGTGCGCTCTGCAGCGCATTGCGCTGAGCTTTGAGCGGTGCTTTAAAGCTGCGCCAACTCCGGTTACGCTCATTTCTAACTGTCAAGCAGCTTGCCATGTTAACAGCGCCATCTGGCGACTTTTTTTTATTGCTATGAAAGCTCACGATCAGTTGGGTTTGAGAATAAATAAACGTTAATTTAAATGCGAATCTTGTAAATAATGATAATCATTTGCTTAAAGTTTTAGGAATCCATCATTAGCATATGATTATATATAATATATATTTGCATCTGTAGATTAAAAATACAGCTACTGCACGTTGCTGGAGGAATAAATCTTTATTAATAGGCTCTAGGCTCGAGCTTTTTAATGTGAGACAAATGTGCAGTGAACCAAAATTATTTTTTTAACTTAGCTCGACTGAAAATATTTTTGAAATAAACTTAGAAAATAGAGAAGGAAAGAGAGAGAACGAGTATCCAAAAGAGTTAATGGGGGTGTAAGATTATAAGATTGCGAACACAGCCTGTGGGCCTTACTTGAACTCACGAGAATCGCATAGAGAGGCGATATTTAATAATGTGCAATTTTTCAAAATTTCAAACGCGGATATCACAATAGAATCTTAATAAATAGATAAATATAATACACATAAGACTTTAAATAATGTAAAGTAGACATTTAATCAAAAAACTTTAGGCTTTTTTTAACCTTTCGCCCCCATGGAAAGCCGTAAGTGGATCTATAGATTGATCGGCGTCATCAACTCGAAATCGACATCATCTATCAAATATCGTATTTTGGGCGTGGGTTTTGAGCACTTTGATTTATGCAAGGGTCTCTCGCACATCGAAGACTATTAAATCGGCACAGGTAAAAATGTAAGTGAGGTGCGTGCCGCCGCCTAATACCGATCCGAATTGAGTTCGACTCATTACGAAAGCGCCGCCCGAAAAGACTCGGACACTAGTCGAGGGGCAGGGGGGGCAGGGGAGAGGGAGAGCGGGGCACTTTTTGTTGATCTTGAGAGGGAATACCAATTGTTGATTTATCTCTCGACAGCTGCTGCTGCTGCTGCGGCTGCCGCCGACGTCGCTGCGACTGCGGCAGCGACTTACTGACCAAGTTTATAAAACTTTGGGCCAAAATGCAAGCGTCGCACAGTTGCTTCGAAAACGTTGCACGTCGCGTAGCCCTCGAAAAAAAGAAGTATACATATATAAATATATATATATACCATATATAGAAGCGAGAAGAAGAAACACGAACATTTTGGTCGGTCGGTCGAGAGCTGGAAACAGCGCAATAAACGGGTTGCAGGGCCCAGGGCCAGGCCTCGCCGGAGGAGAGCAGCTTTATCAGCCGCAAGCCGAAACGAAAACGAAAGTCGGGCACAAAACAAGATACAAATACAATTATAAATATACCATATAAAAAAAAGGCACACGGATCTGGAGATCTCTTGCGCTGTAATGCCTCCATAAAATGACTTTTCGTAACAGCCGGAATTTACGTGAAAATTAGCCACATGCTAAAACGAATACAGAAAGAAAAGTAACCCGAAAATAATAAAAAGAGTAAGTGCTGCAAAGTGTTCTCAGTGTGCTCAGTGTTAACAAGTGCCAAAAAGTTGTTAATTGATTGCTGCTCAGCTCTCAGCTAAATATCTTCTGCTTGCGTCAATATTATGTAATCTCTCTCTCTCCCCCCCCCCCCTCTCTCTCTCTCTTACAACATCTGCCCAGCTGCAAGAAGCCCCCCCCCCCCCCCTTGGCCACAAATTATGCAAAAGCCAAACAAAACGCGCTGAGGAAAGCGGAATGCAAACGCGTTAACTATGCAAATTATATTTTTTTTTCTCATTTAACATATTTTTTATTATTTATTTTTTTGTGGCTGGAGTCTTCGGCTCAGTTTCAGCACACGACCTTAGTCAATGCCAGCTGCTTTTCCCAGCCAGCAAATTATTCTCGGTCAAGCAACATGCTCCCCTCCCTCTCCCTCCCTCTCTCTCTCTCTCGCCCCCCTCTCTCGCTCGCTCGCTCTTGCTGTAATAAGCAATAAACTTGGAAATTATTACGTGTGGCGCTCGGCTTGAGCCCAAAACGCAAACGAAAGCCCAACAGGGAGACCTGCTCCGAGTTTGAGTTTGTGTCAGTGTTGACAATTTAGCTAATTAATAGCTTAAATTGGCTATTATAAGTCCTACTTTGTGTTCAAGTATGAATCAAAGCTATCAATTTGAACATTTTGTAGCTAACATTTCTACTCCGAATTTGAGACTAAGTCCGAGTTCACGCCAGTGTTGTTAATTTAGCTATTTTGTAGCTGAATTTATCTATTATCTCATACTTTGTGTTCAAGTATTAATCCATGATATCAATCTAGATACTTTTTAGCTATATTTGGCTACTAACATTCCTACTCCGAATTTGAGAGTAAGTCCAAGTTCGAGTCAGAGTCTGTGTTCGATTTAGCTTTTTTATAGCTTATTTAACTATTGTCACTCGGAGTAGGCGCCGAGTTCGAGTCTATGCCAGCGCGAGTCTAGGTCAGGGTTGTCAATTAACCTATTTTTTATCGTCATTTGGCAATTATCACTCCTACTACGAATTTGAGACTGAGTCAGAATTCGAGTCAAGAGTCAGTGTTGTCAAATTGAGTATTTTATAGCTAAATTTGGTTATTATCCTACTCCGAATTCGAGTTTTAGTTCGAGTTCGAGTCTGAGTCAGTGTTATCAACATGGATATTTTTTATCAAACTTAGGCTTATATCAGTCCTCCTAGTATTTAGTCGAAGTCAATGTTGTCAATTTAACTATTTTCTATATACACAAATATGCTGTCAATTCAGCTTTTTTCTAGCCAACAGCCCATCAACCCTGTTTTTCGTCTATCGATAACCGATAACCGATATTGTACGTTTTGTCATCACTAGAATATCGTACACATTTGACGCTTCACTTAAGCTACTTTTTAGCTTCTTTTAATGCGATTTAGCTACTTTTTTAGCAGCGAAATTTGACAACACTGGCGTCAGTGGTCAGTTAATAAACGCGCTCAAAACTCAGCTCAAAACTTGACGTTGGTGTTGGTCGCGGGAGTCGTTATCGTTGTTTTTGTTGTTGATGGTTTTCAATTGAACCTTAGTCGTTGCGTTGCCATCGAAATTGGGTTGAGTTTGATTTGTTTGAATACCCTGTGGCCATTTAAAATGGGTAACAAATGGGTATATTGGCAGTTGTGCAACTGTATGTCCACTTTGTCAGTCATATATAATATTTAATTAGATCGAGAGCCGAGTCAATCTCAATCGCCTGTCCATCGCGTCGATCCTACAGTTAGCTATCTATTCTAAATTTATGAATTTCCGATATCCTTAGCATTTTATGATAAACATAAACTGAGCTTAATGCAAAAAGATTCCCAGCAAATTATATAAAATATTGATTATTTAAATGTAGCTTCTCGTTTTCTAAACGTAGAATGAGTTTAACGATAGTTACGATATTTCTAGGCACTTGCCCGAAACCGATAAATATCGATTTTTATCGAAAAATGTTCAGTAAATTATATAAAAAATGTTTAAATTTAGCTACTTCTCATATATATACGTTATATAGAAGCTAGCTATATTTATGCGATATCTCTAGCCATTTGCCCAAAATCGATAATTATCTATCAATTCGTAACAGGCTTGAATGGCAGCAAAAATCGAATAAACACAACAGTTATCGGAGATGGAATTTCTCAGTGTATTATCTATAGTCTACAGGGCATTAACTAGTCAGTCAGCCTCGCTTGTCGCACTCTTAATTGATTTTGTTTTGCTTTAGCTTTGTTTATCTTATGGTTGCGTTCCAAAAACTTTTACTACGTTTTCGTTGATGCGTTTGTGAAAGAGCCAATAAATATTTATATGTATATCTATTTATACGAAAATGCCGTGAAATCAAACAAAATTATGATTAATGCAAATGGAGTGTTAAATTGTTGCATAACTTTCGAGCAGGCAACAAAAAAAATGAGGGAAGACAAAAAGGCAGCGGCTCAAGCGGCGTATGCGCAATATTCTAATTAGCCGGAGGACGCGAAAAACAGCTAGAAATAATACTAGGCTAGATTTGTTGCAACGTCCGAGCTAAATTTCTATTCTATTTTGTTTGCTTTCAGCTTGCATTCGACTCTCTAAAAGCACTTGTCCAAATCAAATTGAAAAGATTACAAGTTAAGACCTTCAAACTGGCCAAAAAGTAACCAGGTTAGGCAAACAACAATAACACACACACACACACACACATAGAGAGACAGGCGTGCCTAATCACAACAACAAATAAAGCAAGGTTAGAGCCAGAGCCGAGCATTATGGAGCTCTGGCGCACCTTCTGGCTGCTGGCATTGCTGGGCGTGGCCAAGGGCGCCAACAACCAGAGCTCCGCCTCCGACTGGCAGCAACAGCAGCAGCAGAAAATGCAGTTTTATCAGCAACACCTGAACGACTCGCTGCTGGAGATGCCCGACCTTGATGCGGGCGCCTCGCGCGGCGGCCATCTGCTGGAGCCGCACCTGACACGCACCTCGGTCATCTTCGGGCTGACCAAGGTGCTCAACGGGAGCAATGTGAGCGCCGTGTGCCAGGCGCAGCTGCGGCAGGTGCAGCGCGGCATACTCAGCAAACAGCCCTGGGCCATGAAAGGTGAGTGCGACCAAATATTTATGCAAAATTAGCAACAATTACCCGGCGTTGTCAGGGTCAAATGAAGCACTTTTAAAATGCGAGTGTTTTAATTTAGAGAGATAAGACATTTTCCCATTTAAAGTAAATTAAAAAGCAATTTATCTGTAGTCTTCACGGGAGTTTGATCCCTAACCCTAACCTAGCCCACCATTCTATCCAACCGACTGATAGGAGTCTACCAAAAAACACATTTATCAAAATTGAACATTTCGACGAGATTTGAACCAGCAACCTCCCTTTTGTTGGTCCGACGCTTAGACACCTAACCGACTTTTCGTAAACCTTGTCTTGGTGGACACTTTGGGGAACTAAAAGAAAGCTTGAGTACAAAGTTCAACTTCGTAGATCGTATGATTTGGGCCAATCCAAACACCAATCAGTCGGTCAATCAGTCAATCAACTCAAATAGTTTGACATACTAAGCTGACTAAATGAATGACTTACTGATGTATAAGACATAGGCTAAGTCGTGAGAGCTAAGCAGCTAAGCTTCTTCAAGTAATCTTAAACCATTCCACCTACAGAGGTGGAAAATGAGTGAAAACCTGTTGAATGACACTTTTTCACTGTTGAAACTTAAAAATAGAAAATATAGAAGACGTGCCTCCCAGCTTTCAATCCTTGGCTCGTTCAAAGCAGGGTAATACCCGCAATTACACATAGATCTATAAGCATCTAAATTTATATAACTTATGCTAAATCTTCGCTGTAGTTAGACGTCTGGGCATCCGCATTAACAAGGCAAACACTCAGGAATAGGTGACTGGTTGTCAATTAGCAACAAAAACAAATCTATTGACTAAATATGCAACTGTTTGGTTAGTGTATTCCAATACAATTAATGGAAAGTCCCATGACTCAACCCAAAACACGTGCCTACCCCAAGAGAACGCAGCGTAAACAAGACGCAAGCCGGTTTTGAGCATTTGCCGGTTCGAACCTGGAATTTCAATTTGGCTAACTTGAAGCGGGAGAGCCAAATCAGTTGCCCAAAAAACATTCGAAACTAAAGCCGACGAATCAACCAACTCCGTTTACTATAGGAGGAAGAACGCTGGTTCAAATCTAGCGGCAATTTCCAATGATTTGTTTAGTTATTAAGCCGAACCTCAAGTCGAAATAGTTGCTCCAAAAACGATCGGACAAACGAACTCACCGGACATGCTGGTTCAAGTCATTTTGGTTGACTAGAAGCGGGAGAATACCGGTTCAAATCCTACAGCAATTTCCAATGATTTGTTTAGTTATTGATCCAAATTCTTTGCTCCAAAAACGATCCGGCCTAAGACCAACGATGGTTCAAGTCATTTTTGTTGACTAGTAGCGAGAGAACGCCGGTTCGAATCCTGCAGCTATTTCCAATGATTTGGTTAGTTATTGAGCCGAGCCTCTGGCCGAATTAGTTGGCCCAAAAACGAACGGGAATAAGGTCAAGGAACCAATCAGCTATGCTGGTTCAAATCGTTTCTCTTGACTAGAAGCGGTAGATCGCCGGTTCAAATCCTGCAGCAAGTTCCACTCCTGTTTTTGTTTATAAAATGATTCAAACTCCATCCCAATTTCTTACAGTGCTCGACGCATCCGGCACAAAGCCCTCGGGCTTTATCTATGGCCAAAACTATTGGCTGGGCAGTCGGGAGGCATGCAGGGGCGTCCAGCGTCCGGTGGGCATAACATTGTCGAAGAACTTTGAGCGCGTGATGCACCACGGGCTGATAACACAGCAGTCGCCGTTCGACATGGACTATCGTGTGATCTATCTGCGCCACAATTCGCCCTGGCAGGTGGAGATCAAGCTGATGTCCGAGCAGATCATACACATTGGCCTCTGCCTGCCCAGGGCGTGCACATCGGGCGAGGTGAAGCAGCTGGCCGGCGAGTATGTCTCGCGCGGCATGTTCGCCGAGAATGACATCTTTGATATACGGCCGGAGGTGCTCTACATGAAGGATCTGCAGCTGCGCGATGTCTTCTATCAGCGCTCCAGCTTCCGGCTGCTGGTCGCCTGCGTTCTGGCCACAGCCGGCCTCATGCTCTGCGCCCAGCAGCTGCTGGCGGCCAAGAAGTTGCCGCCCGCTGGCGAGGAGCTCGGCCTGGCGCCAGCCGAATCCGAGCTGTGGCGTGCGCTGCACGCGCTGCTCCGCTGGCAAAAGCTCCAGCAGCTGGTCAGCTGCTACGATCTGCCCGGCAATTGGGGCAAGATCTTTGCGGTGCGCGAGAACAACGCACGCGAGATACCCGTGATGAACGGGCTGCGTTCCGTGTGCGCCATTTGGATTATGATCTTCCATGTGGTGTGGTTCATGTACTTTACCGTGCACAACAAAACCGTGCTCATCACCTACGCGGAGCAGGCATTCTTTCAGTACGTCTCCTCGGCGCCGCTGCTGGTCGATGTCTTCTTTACCATCAGGTGAGTTGCGATCCTTGGTGTAATCCTTCTTTAATCCCCTTCTTTCCTGCCTTTCAGTGGCTTCCTGCAAACGTACAACTTTCTGCGCAACTCCGCGCAGCTGGACGCAGTGCGTCGCAACGGCTGGCTCAAGAATCTCCGGCTCTTTGGCAAGCTGCTCTTCCATAGATATCTGCGCCTGGGTCCACTCTATCTGGTCGTGATGGCCTCGGTGGATCTGGTTTATGCCTACATTGGCGACACGTCCGTCTATCACATCAACGAACGCTTCGACGAGATGTGCTCCAAGCACTGGTGGCGCAATCTGCTCTTCATACAGAATCTCTTCGACCATCGCGACATGTGCGCCAACTGGAGCTGGTCCCTCGCCTGCGAGATGCAGTTCTTCATGCTGGCCAACGCTTTGCTCTTTCTATATGCCAAGTAAGCTGCCGAATTGATTTATAATCAGTTGTTCCCGGACAGCATAGGATACTATCTACTAGTTCTTCTCCCTTTGCAGGCATCCCAAGCTGACGAAGGGTTTGGTGTCCGTGGCTCTGGTGTCCACCATAGCCTGGTCCTATGGCATCGGGCTGAGCATTAAGTTTCAGTTGTCGTTCGATGCCGCCTTTGCCACCGGCACGGAGATCTACACATCGCCTTTTGTACGCATTCTGCCCTACATTCTGGGCGCGATCACGGCCTGGTCGCTGCTCGAGCGGCGTCCACTCCTGGCGCTGAGCGAGCTGCGCGAACGCTGCTCGTGGCACTTGGCGCTGCTCGTCTTCTTCGCGTGCATCTACTCGACCATTCGGCGGGATCTGGGCCCGCTGATGGCCATCTCGCTGTTCGTGCTGGGCCGGCTCTTCTTCTCGCTGAGCGTCTGCTGGATGATTGCGGGCAGCGCGCAGGGACGCGGCGTCTGGTGGTCGCGGCTGCTGGAGGCCAAGGGCTTCCAGCACGTCAGCCGGCTGTCCTATGCCATATATCTGCTGAATCCACTGGTGATTGCTCTCTTCTACAGCTTGACCAGCGCCAGCACACATGCGGATCCCTTCATGCTGGTGCGTTGAAATATCCCTAAAAAATGTCTGTCAATATTCATATATATATATATATCTATTGCAGTGCGTGGTCACCTGTGGCTTCGCTGTCATCGTTTATTTGGCCTCCATCGTTTTCTCTCTGGCCTTTGAGCTGCCCTACAGCAATTTGTCCAGCATTTTGCTGGGACGCAAAGCGAAAAGTGCTTGAAAGTTGCTTAATGTTAGTTTTATTATAAGCATATTACGCCTACATATTCAATTGTGATCGTTTCCATGTACAACTCACTTTATCATTACAACTATAGCTGATAGCGTATATTTAGTTGTATTATATTTGTAAATATTTTTGAAAAAATAAACACACCGAAAACGAAATATTTCAATGAGCGGTAAATTGTTGAATGGCAACTTGCTAGTATATTTTAGGGCAAATTTTTTGGTATTTTTTGGCGTGTATATTAAACGCAAATTGTTACTATATGCATATAAGCCGTTATCCTGAATTTTTGTAATTTTAAAATTGCAATTTACTTCTTTTACGCATAAAAAATTTCAAATTTGGTTGCAGCGGGCTTCTTTAAAAGCGGCATACTTTTTGGTGTTTTTTAGCGTCATGCGCGATAGCCTCAGCATAGGTTACATCTTTTTCTGTTGGTATTTTTAGCAAGAAGCGTTAATTTTATGCACGAGCAAATATCACTATAATATTTAGCATGTGTAAAAACAACAGTTAATTATTGTAAACGTGTACACTACTTTATCAATTGACCATGCTAGTTAAAAATACATAATTTGTTTCAGCCCTGAAAGGCAGTCTATCTATATATCGATAGCATACTATCGAGCCTCAAGTATTGGGAAGCGCGTGCGTGTCGACGCGCCCGCTCTCTTTCACACTCTCTCGCGTCTGCCGTTTGGCGTTAAATTGTTTAAATTTTTTTAATGCATGCGTATGGGTACGAACTAAGGTAACACCGAACTCAGTGGTGCGCCGGCTGCTCCAAGAGATAGTACGCACGTCTGAAGCGCGGATAACAAGAGCGGACAAAAGTGAAGCGCGTGCGCCACAAAAGTTAAATTTCTGCTTTCTGCAATATATTGTGAAAATCGCGCGCGTTTTGTTTCTTTTATTGCAATTAGCAGTTAATAAACGTGTACACAAAAATATGCCAATAAAATACATACGTACAGTGACAAAGTGATTCAAAGCAACAATAGAAAATGTGAAAATTTCCATTGGCCGAGCCAAAGCGACGCGCAGCATTCAGCATCAAACGGAGCATCCTTGTGAGTGTCCCTCTATGTGTGTGTGTGAGTGTGTGCGCTTGTGTATGCGTATGTGTGTGCGTGCTCCACCCTCACAGCAGCCGCCTTGAAATATTTACATATATATATTGCAAATTCCAATTTGCAAAGTGCAATGTGCTCAAAATAATATTAAAAACGTGTTGCCTGAATGAATTCCTTGCGCTCAATTAAATATAAATTGACTATTTGTTGCTACAAATGTGTGCGTGTGTGCGTAAAACAATTCAAAATGCAGCGCTGCAACAACAAGAGCAAAAAGCGCAGTTGCCTTGTTATACACGTCCTGTAAAGGGCATTATGATTTTGTCACTTAACTCGTAACTTATGGAAGATGACTTGTGTGTTGCCTTGTAATTTATATATTGTTGATCAGCAAAAATAATCAGTCAATTATTAAACTAACTTGATGAAAGTGGTCAACGCATATGTGAAAGTTGGAAAATATAGAATATACATATCGTATATGTGCAATTTGTAAGCAGTGCATTGCTTAGTCGGTTGGAGCCGACTGCAATTTTTGTTCCTTCTTGCCTTTCTTCCTTTCTTATCTGTGATGTCCCGAAAGCGGCTGCCAATCTACGCTCTCTTCGTCTCTGTCGCTGTGTCTGTGTGTGTGTGTGTGTGCTTGTGGTTGTGTGGGCGGCCGTTCACTTAATGTGCGAATAAAAAGCGCCACGGCAACAACAGCAGCGTCTGCGGCAGCGACTGCGGCAGCGACGTCGCAGCCAAACGGTTAAAAAAGCTCCAATGCGCCATTAAGTGCGACATGTAAATTATAAATTTAATTACGCGTGAAAATGATGTTTATATTCATATTAATATGCACATATACACATATACTAGGTGTATACATATATGCATATGGCTTATATTCTATTTTTATAGTCTTGGCTGCCACCTGCGCCCTGCCACCGTCGCCCGCTGCGAAGGTGTCGCCGCTTCTTATCAGCAACGTAAGCATCATCGACAACATTGTTGTGCCCGGCGCTCTCACGCGCTTTCTGCCAGCGTTTGTCTCTTTTACACCCACACTCTCGCTAACTGTCTGCTATGCTTAGTGTTGCCAGCTTTTGGAAAGCAAGAAAAAAGCTATAAGAAGTACGCTATGTTTAAGAAGCTAGCTTTCGCACACCGAAGATAAAATACTCTCATATATGACATTTGTGCGGTATATTTCAAAATTTAGCAGTGTGATAAGTGCGACCAAATTGTTAATATCTGGTATTTCTGTTGTTAGTTGTCTTGCAACGATCAAGTCTTCCGTCAGCCGGAAAAGGCCAGATTAGGCGGTCTAAAAAGAGTAAGAGGCAACACTGGCCATGCTTCATGTGTCGCTTTTGGCACATTCTCTTTTGCTGTCGTAATTGTTGTTGCTGCTGCTGTTCAATTTGTTTTATTTGTGGAATTTCTTTGGCGGCTGCTACTGCTTCCTCTTCTACTGCTCGCTGGCTTCCTTTTGGCACTTCAACTTTGGCAGCTTTGCATGTCGCGTCGGTGTTCGCCTTATGGGGCTGACCTTGAACAAGTTCAGCTGCTAAGGCACAGACGCTGGCAGCGGCGACAGTGGCGCGCATTGTTGTTCTTGTTGTTGTTGTTGTTTGTTGCTGCCGAAGCCTTGGCCTTGGCTGCACAATGTCGCCAAATGTTTACTTAGCACACACACGCACGCGCTCACGTGTTCTTTGTGTGTGTGTGTAAGTATGTGTATATTTACTTCGCAATAAGCAAATGCATATCAATTAATATTTTTTAAAGCGCTGCTTCTGCTGTCGCTGCTGACGTTGGCGCTTTCTCCCATCACGTGTTCAAACGCTGCTCAGCAGCTTCCGTGTAAAGCTTCCGCTTGCGCCCCCCCCCCAGCTACCCTTTCCATCTCTCATCTCAGCTAACACCTAACTAAAGTTGAGCGCGCTAATTGCCCTCTCTCGCTCTCTCTCTCATTGCCTGTTATGTTTTGCATTTGCTTTATCTGTGTGTGTGTATTTCAATATTGCAATTGCACAATTTGTTTATTTGCTTTGATTCTGCTGAGAACACACATTAAAGACATTTTCTGTAGATAGCTGCTCGTACATTGAACCCTAAGGCAAAGCAACTGCTGCTTGTGACGTCACAACGTATCGGCTTTCTATTTCGCTCAGATTACTTTCAGTTGACGCGCTCTCCTGCGCGAATGACTCATGTCCAAAAGTTGCGCACACGCACGCACACACGCGCACGCGCACTCGTGCAGACTGCTGCCTGTTGCTGCATGTTCAGCTCCCAATCAGCAGCAGTTCTAACGGCACTTATCAGCGCCTCCGTTTAAGCCCCACTTCGCCGAGGGGTTCCGCTATTTTCGGGTAATTAACAAATGTTTTCTTTCGTCGCATTCCCCGGCAATGGATAGCCCATAAAAACAGACCCTTCCGGCAGTTGCGAGCTTTTAGAATCCAATGGAGCTTTAAGTAAATTCGTATTTTAAGCACAACTATGTCTGATAACAATAAATAACACATTGACAGCTGTATTTATTCGACATAATTAGTGAAGGTCTTATCATTTTCTGAGAAAATATGTCACGCATACATTAATAATTGGCATATATATTTGTATCTTTATCGGAGTTACAGATTAGAGTCAACCAGATCAGACTTCTATGGCATACATATGTAGGTATCATATAAGCATGTTTCTCTCAGTTTAAAAGATATGTTGCAGGCAGTGTATATGTACATATGGTACTGGCCGGAGGGGACCACTAACTCAATACATAAAACTGTTTGTCCTGACTGACTGATTGACTGACTGACTGATTGATGATCAACGCACAGCCCAAACCGTAAGAGCTAAGAAGCTGAAATTTTCACTGTGGTTACCTTATGTGATGAACGTGCACGTTAAGACGGGGTTCCGGGAAATTCCACCCGCATGTGTGGAAAAATCGCGAAAAACGGTTGTATGAAACTGTTTTGTTTACCTTCTGATCGGCCTCAAACTCACATTTAAAGATCTTTGTAAAAATTCATTTGATACGTTCGGGCGGAAACTGTTAATTTTAGGCACTTGCTTCTTTATTCCATGCACTCGAAATTTATTTTTAAATAGAAGTGGAGATCAAGATGGGTAGATTTGAATTTTCCACGAGCGTGTCTTAGTGGAAAGATAATATCTAAAATTTTTGGCACAAAACGCTCCACGAGCAAGGCCGGGCAATAACCGCTAGTATCATATAAAAGATCGAACAAAAATTCTGTAGAACATATTTTTGTTTTTCAAGATTTCCTAATCAAATTTGGCACTTATGAGTTCTAACATGCTCGACACATATGACCTAAATCTTATCAACGTCAGAGGACTATATCAGACAGCTCTACAGGAAGAATCGGTTGAAAAAAGGGTTCTTTTTTTTTCAAACTAACTTCACAAACAATTTTTTTAAATTTTTCCCGCATATCTGAAATTCTAGCTGTAATGCTATGCGTTCCAATTTTTTTTTATAATTTGTTTAGGGTGCTTGTTCACTTAATCTTTCCCCTCATAAAAGTCTTAAGTTAATAACATTAATAAAATGCCTAATGCACTGCGCTAAAGTACTCGAGAATTCAGGCATTCCGTTTATGGTTTGTTTAATCTATAAACTTAAACAAATATCAAAATATTTATGTGTGTGTGTTTATACGGACTATTTTGTATTGTTATTATTATCATTATATTGACTTGGCTGCCTGTTCTAATATTTATACCCAATACCCTTTGAAAGAGTGTGGAATGGGGTATACTGGCAATGAGTAAATGTATCTGACGGATTGCAGAAAATATAACCGATCTCATAAAGTATATATATTCCCGATTACGTTCGTATTACTCATAGAGTTCTTTGGGATACATTTGAATAGGTGTGTGATTTTTGGTTCTGGCTACAGGGTATCGCCAAGTCGACTATATTGTGGACGATTCGGATGTATTCATTGCGAGCTCTTTGGGATACATTTGAATAGGAATGTATTCTTTTCTTTGAGTACAGGGTATCTGCAAGTCGACTACATACTTTCCGCCTGCTCAATTTGTGTGCATTTGCGAGGTTTTATTCGCTTGCCGAAGCCAAGCTGCAATTGAGCATAGATTAATATAGTGGGTAAACAACAGATAAAAATAGTTGGCCCCTTGCAAGCTTATCCCAGGCATTTCCATATATTACAATTATATTATATGTATATAAAACGGTTGCACAACAGTTGCATGGAGCAACCTGATGCTTGGGTAAAAGCATTATCACCTGAGTTATTAGCCAATTGATAAACGAGCTGCTGAGTCAGCGCTTGGCATTCCAAATGCGTCCCGACCAGTCACAGACTGAGCTGGAATTCGGGTTTTCAGACTCTTGAGGCTCCGCTTTATAAATACATATATACACCAATAAAGGGCCACGCCCTGAATTTGAGCAGCCGCCTGTTATTATTATGGTGCGTGCATGAGACACGTTTCGTGCAGCAGCGGGGCGGGGGGCGGGGTGCAGGGATCCGCTGGTCATTGGCCCATTTCCTGCGACTTGTGAGCGGCGGCGACAGCCGTGAAAATGTAAACAAAATGCGCGTAATTAAATTTTCATACGCAGGCCAAAGGACAAGGAAATGTTTTCATAATTTATTTAGCAGCAACTTGGGCGTGCCCCACGCTATCCCAGCCACAATTTACCATACTCTATATACATATACATATATATATGTGTGTGTATATATTTATCTAATATTTTCCTTTAGCTGTTGCCTCTTTTTAATTGGCAATTTGCGACGACGTTCGCTGTCAATCAAGGCAAAAGCATTTGTCAGCTGACTAGGTTCCACTTTCTACCTCCCTCTCCTACTTTCTCCCTCTCTCTCTCCCTCTCTTTGCTTCACTAACCTTCTTGTTTATATCCTAAAACTGTTTGTTCTGACTGACCTATTGATGAGTTATCCCTCGGAGGTACGAACCGTATATTTATACTTAAGCTTCCT